TATTTGCAAATTATGGTGGAAAATAAGTATTTGGTCACCTACAAACAAGCAAGATTTCTGGCTCTCACAGACCTGTAACTTCTTCTTTAAGAGGCTCCTCTGTCCTCCACTCGTTACCTGTATTAATGGCACATGTTTGAACTTGTTATCAGTATAAAAGACACCTGTCCACAACCTCAAACAGTCACACTCCAAACTCCACTATGGCCAAGACCAAAGAGCTGTCAAAGGACACCAGAAACAAAAACGCCGCCAGGGACTCAAATCCTGCAGTGTCAGACGTTCCCCCTGCTTAAGCCAGTACATGTCCAGGCCCGTCTGAAGTTTGCTAGAGTGCATTTGGATGATCCAGAAGAGGATTGGGAGAATGTCATTTGGTCAGATGAAACCAAAATGTAACTTTTTGGTAAAAACTCAACTCATCGTGTTTGGAGGACAAAGAATGCTGAGTTGCATCCAAAGAACACCATACCTACTGTGAAGCATGGGGGTGGAAACATCATGCTTTGGGGCTGTTTTTCTGCAAAGGGACCAGGACGACTGATCCGTGTAAAGGAAAGAATGAATGGGGCCATGTATCGTGAGATTTTGAGTGAAAACCTCCTTCCATCAGCAAGGGCATTGAAGATGAAACGTGGCTGGGTCTTTCAGCATGACAATGATCCCAAACACACCGCCCGGGCAACGAAGGAGTGGCTTCGTAAGAAGCATTTCAAGGTCCTGGAGTGGCCTAGCCAGTCTCCAGATCTCAACCCCATAGAAAATCTTTGGAGGGAGTTGAAAGTCCGTGTTGCCCAGCGACAGCCCCAAAACATCACTGCTCTAGAGGAGATCTGCATGGAGGAATGGGCCAAAATACCAGCAACAGTGTGTGAAAACCTTGTGAAGACTTACAGAAAACGTTTGACCTGTGTCATTGCCAACAAAGGGTATATAACAAAGTATTGAGAAACTTTTGTTATTGACCAAATACTTATTTTCCACCATAATTTGCAAATAAATTCATTAAAAATCCTACAATGTGATTTTCTGGAAAAAAAAATTCTCATTTTGTCTGTCATAGTTGACGTGTACCTATGATGAAAATTACAAGCCTCTCTCATCATTTTAAGTGGGACAACTTGCACAATTGGTGGCTGACTAAATACTTTTTTCCCCCACTGTATGTCCAATTGTCAAGTAGGCCATGTTCCAATTCTCCACCCTTCTCCCGAAGTGTGCATTTGCGCATTCCCTTGCATGGATTTAGTAATGGTGGCAGCTCCCTTTTGCCAACGCTTACACCAATCCTATGCTTTTGGCCTATATCCGTGATGAGCGTGCAAAAATCCAAAATAATCTGGAAGTAGCCTTAGTCATGCATTAATTTGAAGTTAGGATTCACCTCTTATTTCTATAGTTCCCTGTGTCTGGCTAGACTTCTCAGCCTCAGATTTGCTCTGAACAGTTCAACATGACGTATTAACCCTGAATCATTCCAATTTATTTAAAAAAGGGAAGTATAGACAGAATTCATCACTACACCACATCCCATCAAAAAAAAGAATAATGAAGTCAGGAAAGCTACACTGAGTCTACAAAACATTAGGAACACCTTCCTAATATTGAGTTGCACCACCTTTTACCCTCAGAACAGCCTCAATTCGTCGGAGCATGGACTACAAGGTGTCGAAAGTGTTCCACAGGGATGCTGGCCCATGGTGACATCAATGCTTTCCACAGTTGTGTCAAGTTGGCTGGATGTCCTTTGGGTGGTGGACCATTCTTGATACACACGGGAAACTGTTGAGCGTGAAAAACCCAGCAGCGTTGCAGTTCTTGACACCCTTTAAACTGGTGTGCCTGGCACCTTCTACCATACCCCGTTCAAAGGCATTTAAATATTTTGTCTTGCCCATTCACCCTATGAATGGCACACATACACAATCAATGTCTCAATTGTCTCAAGGCTTAAAAATCCTTCTTTAACCTGTCTCCTCCCCTTCATTTACACTGATTGAAGTGGATTTAACAGGTGACATCAATAAGGGATCTTAACAGGTGACATCAATAAGGGATCATAGCTTTAAGGGATCACAGTCCAGTTTTGGTTCCATGATCAATGTGAACACTTGTTGTTTTAAAGGAGGTGAGTGTCGGCCCACCAGTCCAGCGTAAAGATATTACTTTAGACAGAGAATATATCAATTTGGTGACTGTGTCCTTTTTGGACTCTGCAGTGCTGCTGTGTTGTTTGATTTACAAAACATTGATCAATTTAGAGGAAATATAAAGTGATTATTTGGTAAAACAATGTTGTGCATTTGGACCACTTGTCACGACTTCTGCCGAGGCTGCCTCCCCTCCTTGTTCGGGCAGGTTTCGGTGTTCGTCGTCACCGGCTTACTAGCTGCTGCCGATCCATTTATCATCACTCCACTTGTCTTGTCTAATTAATCACACACACCTGGTCCTTATCCCCAATTAGTCATTGTATAAGTGTTCCCTCTGCTTCCTTGTCTGTGTAGGTGATTGTTTGTTGTGAGTTGTGTGTAGCGCTGTTGAGCTACCCTTACCTTGTTGTTGCCAGGGTAGATATTTCCCCTGTGCCTGAGTTTTGTTGTCGCATGCTTACGCAACTGTTTATCGACGGAATAAACTCTTTGGACGCGTATTACTCTCCTGCGCCTGACTCCTTCTATCACACGCGTCACACGCGTTCACCTTCCAACAGGACAACGACCCTAAGCACACAGCCAAGACAATGCAGCAGTGGCTTCGGGACAAGTCTCTGAATGTCCTTGAGTGGCCCAGCCAGAGCCCGGACTTGAACCCGTTCAAACATCTCTAGAGAAACCTGAAAATAGCTGTGCAGCGACGCTCCCCATCCATCCTGACAGAGCTTGAGAGGATCTGCAGAGAAGAATGGGAGAAACTCCCCAAATACAGGTGTGCCAAGCTTGTGGCCTCATACCCAAGAAGACTCGGGCCTGTAATCGCTGCCAAAGGTGCTTCAACAAAGTACTGAGTAAAGGGTCTGAATACTTATGTAAATGTTTCTTTTTCTTTTTAATACATTTGCAACATTTTCAAAAAACCTGTTTCGCTTTGTCATTATGGGGTATTGTGTGTAGATTGATGAGGGAAAAAAAAACCATTTAATCAATTTTAGAATAAGGCTGCAACGTAACAAATTGTGAAAAATAGTCAAGGAGTCTGAAAACTTTCAGAATGCACTGTACATGCATATGTTACGGGGTAGAACTGTCAACCCATTTTGAACACACCCTTGTTGGTCTGCCAGGGGTGATTGTTAATTAAGGGCGTGGACTTTTGTATAAAAGCCTTCCTGGTTGTGTCAATCGGGGGATCCCCTTACTATGTGCTTGTCAGAATGCCTTGGGAGGACAGGAGCGGTGATGCCCATACCAGCCAGGTCACCCGTGATACAAGTCAGTATTCGATAGCCATCAATGTCTGAGGACGTTGGAAGATGATGTGGAAACCGGCCACTAGGGGCAACAGTTAGCGCTGTTCAGTCAGGTCACCCGTGATACAAGTCAGTATTCGACGTCCATCCATGTCTTAGGACGTCGGGAGATGACGTGGAAACTGGTCACTAGGGACAACAGTGATCTCTGTTACATTCAAGTAGGTTTCAGTTTTGCTAGGGTCTTGTGGACGGGGATGGCGGCTGGGTGTCGAAAAATATGGGTTGTTTATGAATTCGTGGACTAATAAAAAGGGTTAAAAAACGTAGGTGCTGGATTTTAGGCTGGTAGCAACCACCACAGGGTGTCCATTCAGAACACGAGGAAGCAGTAGTTCCAGTTCAAAGGTTTAATGAAGGTCCACACACACACACATACAACACCACTCTCTCTGATACTAATTGTGGTTCTGTAAAGAAAAGAGGAGAACTTAGGCTATAGCATAGTATGGGAAAAATATGCCTATTTGCATGTCAACAAACTAAACAGGCTATGTGGACCCAAACACATGCTAGATGCACAAATAAACAATAGAGCAATGTGTGAAATGTCAGAATAATAGTACAGAGAATTATTTCTTTCAGCTTTTATTTCTTTCATCACATTCCCAGTGGGTCAGAAGTTTACATACACTCAGTTAGTATTTGGTAGCATTGCCTTTAAATTGTTTAACTTGAGTCAAACGTTTCGGGTGGCCTTCCACAAGCTTCCCACAATACATTGGGTGAATTTTGGCCCATTCCTCCTGACAGAGCTGGTGTAATTGAGTCAGGTTTGTAAGCCTCCTTGCTCGCACACGCTTTTTCAGTTCTGCCCACACATTTTCTATAGGATTGAGGTCAGGGCTTTGTAATGGCCCCTCCAATACCTTGTTGTCCTTAAGCCATTTTACCACAACTTTGGAAGTATGCTTGGGGTCATTGTCCGTTTGGAAGACCCATTTGCGACCAAGCTTTAACTTCCTGACTGATGTTGCTTCAATATAACCACATAATTTTCCTTCCTCATGATGCCATCTATTTTGTGAAGTGCACCAGTCCCTCCTGCAGCAAAGCACCCCCACAGCATGATGCTGCCACCCCTGTGCTTCACGGTTGAGATGGTGTTCTTCGGCTTGCAAGCAACCCCCTTTGTCCTCAGACCAGAGGACATTTCTCCAAAAAGTAAGATCTTTGTCCCCATGTGCAGTTGCAAACCGCAGTCTGGCCTTTTTATGGCGGTTTTGGAGCAGTGGCTTCTTCCTTGCTGAGCGGTCTTTCAGGTTATGTCGATATAGGACTCGTTTTACTGTGGATATAGATACTTTTGTACCTGTTTCCTCCAGCATCTTCACAAGGTCCTTTGCTGTTGTAGATGTCCTAACCGACATGCCAAAACTATAGTTTGTTAACAAGAAATTTGTGGAGTGGTTGAAAATCAAGTTTTAAGGACTCCAACCCAAGTGGATGTAAACTTCCGACTTCAACTGTATATAGGTACGTGTACTAGTGTTTGTCATATGCTGCTCTCTGACTGGTTGTGGGGCAGACAGTTCTGCTCATTGATTAGGGAGGTGGTCTCGTCGACCAGAAGGGGGGCGGTCTCCGGGGTGGGAGTTGGGTTGGGGGTGTCGGAGGATAGGAGGCTGGGAGTGGTGGTGCCCACAGGGGACGTGGTACCCTCCAGACTAGGATGGCCGAAGTCAGGTGACTGGGGGGTGGAGTCCAGACGAGACGACATCACACCGTTCTGGTACTGGGCCTGCGATATCTGAGAGAAAGGGATAGAGAAGGAAGGAGAAAGGGATGGAGAGAGGGAGGGAGGGAGAGAGAGCGAGACTAAAAGAGTAAGAGGAACAATGATCATTGTAGGTTATGGATGGGAATCCTTTCAAATGTATTGTATTTCGAAACCTTGGCATTTGCTTTGATCTAATTATGCAGAGAGTTCAGTCTCTTAACTTTCTGCACCTTAGCTACCTTGTTGTGTTAGATTTCTACAATGGATGGATGGTCCTCCTTACCTTGACAAACTGCAGGTCTGTGAGAGCTCGTACGTAAAAGTCAGGGGTGTATCTTGGTGAGGGGACGGTGAACTGAGCGTTGAGCTGGCTATTGCTGCCGCTGATAGACAGAGACTCTGTACGATCTTCAGCGTTCAGAGATGCTGTCCTGTTCAAACCACTGATGTGGGATGGAGAGCGGAACTCTGAAAAACACACACATAAAATGTAGCATTAGAGTCAGCAAAAAGGACAAACACACACTCACATGTGCAGATGCATGCACACAAGGATATGGTGATGGCACAAAAAAAAATGCATACACATTCTAACACAGGTAAAACTGCAATGAAATGGTAGGCTAAATGTGAATAATGTGAATACTACTGTCGAACCAGCCAAAGGTGCATTCTAGAGATTAATACCGTTAATGCAAGAGACATGGTCTGGAGAACGAACTTCTCAGAGCAAACACACAAACAAACACACACATATCCACTTTAGGTTCAAATGGCCTGTGAGAGAAAGTCAGAAGGGTTAGGAGAGTTACTACACAGAGAGAAACACACACCTACAAGTCACAAACCAGAAATCTGTTCATTTCACACTGATACCACCAGATGTCGCAATTCACAATGTTAGGTTGCCATTGAATAATATACGATGCCAGTGCCTCAGTGAAGTGGATCCACCTGGATATATAAAACACCTTAGAGGCATGTTCTGCAGGTGTACCTAATCTGTAGAGCTTGCATATGCCAACTACGCTGAATTTCAAAGTGCGAAGAAGATGCATGAGTGAGTGTGTAACGATCAATGTGTGTATGTGTGTTTCGGTTGGTGTGGGCCAGACAGTGCAGTAATGAAGGTCAGGTGCACATTGTGGTGCAGAGTCTTAAGCCTTGTTCACATTTGCAGTTTGAAGTGACTCAAATAATTTTTTGGGGGCATATCCCAATCGAATCTGTTCTTTTTCCTGCAGTCTGAACAGCCAAAAAGCACATGGAATTGGATATTTCAAGCCACATTTCAACTTGCTGTTTAGACAGTCAGTTTGGACAGTCAGTATTCCGAAACTGATTTGAAAACAAAACTGACCCCATTTTGAAATCAGGCGACCCCACATGGAAATTAGCATTAAAACTACATAATTTTCTCTGTATCCCATGGCAAAATGTATAGAATTGCAGGAAATGTGTCTTAAACCTACAAAATGTTCTCTCCGCCAACAAGAACTGTGTGTGAACTGTTTGTGTCATGAACAGTGCTTGTGCCCATAGATATAGACGTGGCGCGTGCGCTCTATCCAAAATTACAACCAACTGATTGCAGCATTACCACAAAAATGAAGGAGGCAAGTGGAAGGGGGAGAAGGTAGGAAACTTGTTTGTTTGCCCTTTATTAAAGACCAAATTTGGCTGTTTTATTTGAGGACCAAAACATTTTGATGGCGGCGCCATACAGGTTGCAAAATAGTTGGGAAGAGATTTTGGATGTGCCGATTCCGTGGCACATGTTTATGAACTGATACGAAAAACAACGCTTGATTCAAAACTTTGAATTATAAATTATTAAAGAAATGTTTTGCCACAAACAGAATGTTATGTATATGGGGCATACAACCAATGTTCCCTTTAAGCTACGCGCGTGCGCGGATAAAATAAAAAAACAGAAATATCACATTTACATAAGTATTCAGACCCTTTACTCAGTACTTTGTTGAAGCACCTTTGGCAGCGATTACAGCCTCGAGTCTTCTTGGGTATGACGCTACAAGCTTGGCACACCTGTATTTGGGGAGTTTTTCCCATTCTTCTCTGCAGATCCTCTCAAGCTCTGTCAGGTTGGATGGGGAGCGTCGCTGCACAGCTATTTTCAGGTCTCTCCAGAGGTGTTCGATCGGGTTCAAGTCCGGGCTCTGGCTGGGCCACTCAAGGACATTCAGAGACTTGTCCCAAGCCACTCCTGTGTTGTCTTGGCTGTGTGATTAGGGTCGTAGTACTGTTGGAAGGTGAACCTTCGCCCCAGGCTGAGGTCCTGAGCGCTATGGAGCATGTTTTCATCAAGGATCTCTCTGTACTTTGCTCCGTTCATCTTTCCCTTGATCCTGAACAGTCTCCCAGTCCCTGCCGCTGAAAAACATCCCCACAGCATGATGCTGCCACCACCATGCTTCACCGTAGGGATGGTGCCATGTTTCCTCCAGACGTGAAGCTTGGCATTCAGGCCGAAGAGTTCAATCTTGGTTTCATCAGACCAGAGAATCTTATTTCTCATAGTCTGAGAGTCTTTAGGTGCCTTTTGGCGACTCCAAGCGGGCTGTCATGTGCCTTTTACTGAGGAGTGGCTTCCGTCTGGCCTATCTACCATAAAGGCCTGTTTGGTGGAGTGCTGCAGAGACGGTTGTCCTTCTGGAAGGTTCTCCCATCTCCACAGAGGAACTCTGGAGCTCTGTCAGAGTGACCATCGGGTTCTTGGTGAACTCCCTAATCATGGCCCTTCTCCCCCGATTGCTCAGTTTGGCCGGGCGGCCAGCTCTAGGAAGAGTCTTGGTGGTTCCAAAATTCTTCCATTTAAGAACGATGGAGGCCACTGTGTTCTTGGGGACCTTAAATGCTGCAGATATTTTTTGGTACCCTTCCCCAGATCTGTGCCTCTACACAATCCTGTCTCAGAGCTCTACGGAAAATTCCTTCGACCTCATGGCTTGGTTTCTGTCCAATTAATTGAATTTACCACAGGTGGACTCCAATCAAATTGTAGAAATATCTTAAGGATGATCAATTGAAACAGGATGCACCTGAGCTCAATTTCGAGTTTCACAGCAAAGGGTCTGAATTTTTTTTTGTATTTATTTGTTTACATTTGCAAAAATGTATAATAATATAATATGTCCTCCGTGTACAACGTAAAACACCAAATAATGCATGCAGAGCAGAATTAGGCCGATACCCGCTAATTATCAAAATCCAGAAAAGAGCTGTTAAAATCTACAACCACCTAAAAGGAAGCGATTCCCAAACCTTCCATAACAAAGCCCTCACCCACAGAGAGATTAACGTGGAGCAAGCTGGTCCTGGGGCTCTGTTCACAAACAAAAACAGACCCCACAGAGCCTCAGGACAGCAATACAATTAGACCCAACCAAATCATGAGAAAACAAAAAGATAATTACTTGACATATTGGAAAGAATTAACAAAACAACAGAGCAAACTAGAATACTATTTGGCCCTAAACAGAGACTACACAGTGGCAAAATACCTGATCGCTGTGACTGACCCAACATTAAGGAAAGCTTTGACTATGTACAGACTCAGTAAAAATAGCCTTGCTATTGAGAGAGGCCGCCGTAGGGAGACCTGGCTCTCAAGAGAAGACAGGCTATGTGCACACTGCCCACAAAATGAGGTGGCAACTGAGCTGCACTTCCTAACCTCCTGCCAAATGTATGACCATATTAGAGACACATTACACAGATTACACAGACCCACAAAGAATTCGAAAACAAATCCAATTTTGATAAACTCCCATATATATTGGGTGAAATACCATAGTGTGCAATCACAGCAGCAAGATTTGTGACCTGTTGCCACAACCAGTGAAGCACAAACACAATTGTAAATACAACCCATATTTACATTTATTTATTTCCCTTTTGTACTTTAACTATTTGCACATCGTTACAATACTGTACTGTATATAGCCATAATATGACATTTGAAATGTCTCTATTCCTTTGGAACTTTTGTGAGTGTAATGTTCACTGTTTATTTTTGATAGTTTATTTCACTTTTGTTCATTATCTATTTCACTTGCTTTGGCAATGTCAACATATGTTTCCCATGCCAATAAAGCCATTTGAATGTAATTGAATTGAGAGGAAAGAGAGAAAGAGAGAGAGATAGAGAGGGGGGAAGCAGAGAGAAAGAGTTGTGCTTTGAGAGAGAGAGAAACAGACAGAGCATATAATGGAGGAGAAAGAGGACTTGCCTAACGTGGGAGCGCTGAGAGCCATTACACCATAGAAGGAGAATGGTCCTGTCTCAAACTTCATGTTTTCGTTCCCGGCCTCAACTTCTACTCGCCCCTGAGAGACACAAAGAGAAACACATACAATGGATTAGGGACAAACAACAACAACAACAACAACAACAAGTGAGGGAGAATGAAGGAGGCCTCGGGGGAGTCACGTGTGCTCTCGACGAGGATGGCTGTGTAGTTGAGGAGCTCCGTCGAACACAACAGTAAATCGATTTTGGCAATGATATTTACCCATTTTAGGCCATAGTTATACTCATAGAAGTGAAAGGCACATTTTGATACAACCAAAAATAACAAATGTCTAACCGGGATAGCCGCAAATCACAGCGCGTAAAGGATTCACTACAGACACAACCGTCCAAGCTTAGCAAGAACATGGAGGCTGCCTATGGGTCAGATAGGTCAACTCTTACCTCCGAAATCAGAGCAATTCATTTTCCACCCAAAATATTGAACAAGATACATCAGAAATCAAGATCACGATGGAGGAAATAGATGGGGAAATCGATACACTGACCAACCGCGTTAGCAAAGCAGAGGACCGTGTCGCAACTTTGGAGAATGGCGAGGTCACAACGAAAGGTCGGGTAGACGAAATCCAGAAGGAATCGCAAAAACTACAAGACCATGTTGATAATTTGAATAACAGAGGGCATCGCTGTAATATAAAAATCTTGGGCGTTCCTGAGATGACAGAAAACAAAGACATGATACAGTTCCTACAGAGGGAAATCCTGAATATGCTGGAATGCCACTTTGAGAGGCCACTTGAGATACAGAGGGCACATAGAGTCCCCACAGACCCACCCAGAAGAGAGCAGGAAGAGGGAGGCCGACCGCAGCCCATCATGGTCAACATGCTACGTTATCAGGTGAAGGACTAACTATGTTAAACAAGATATTTGCTACTAAATATAAGCATAATAGATTATATCATAAAAAAGCTGAGTATGCACTGTTCCGCCTTAACCAATCTTACTGGGAGATGGGTGAAAAACCTGTCCGCTTGCTGACATACAGACTAAAGCTGTAAAACAGTAGGAGCCATATAGCTGGCATACGGTTGCAAAATGTTACAATTTCTACCTCTTCGAAGCAGATAAATTAGGAGTGGAGAGGCTTCTACAACCACCTTTATACATCACAGGGTCAAACAAAAGTTGGATAGCTTTTTTGCACACCTGATTTTACCACAACTCTCAGATAAGGATAGAGATTATTTAGATGCACGATTTAGGGTTGGAGAGATCTCTCAGGTTATCAAGAATACACCTTCTAACAATCCTCCCTTCTGACTGTTATAAAAAGTTTGAGACTGGGGGGGGGGGCAAGTAGCTTAGTGGTTAAGAGCGTTGTGCCAGTAACCAAAAGGTCGCTGGTTCTAATCCCCGAGCTGACTAGGTGAAAAATCTGTCAATGTGCCCTTGAGCAAGGCACTTAACCCTAATTGCTCATATAAGTCGCTCTGGATAAGAGCGTCTAGTAAATGTAATTATTACTCCAATTTTGCTAGAGGTATACAGTGCATTCGGAAAGTATTCAGACCCCTTGACTTTTTCCACATGTTGTTACGTTACAGCCTTATTCTAAAATGGATTAAATAAAGGGACGGGCTAAACCAGGCTGGTACCAGATGGAGTCTGAGCCTGTGGGGGAGTCTCCCCTGGCTTTGAATTTTTGGCACAGTAAGACCACAACTGAAGGATCAACCCACTGTTACAAACACTAGAACCTTGTGGGGTAAGATACATAGATCTGGACCTTTATAAATCGCTTCACGCCCCTCTGTGGCACAATAAGTGTATCCTAATTAGAGGTAAAACAATTTTTTGGGGTACAGTGGCAACAAGTAGAAATCAATTATCTGTTGGTTGTAGTTGATGAGCACTGTAAGCAATTCTTAAGTTTTGCCCACATTACTGAGAATTATAAGCTGACACAGAATCAATATTGGAGACACCTCCAGCTACGAAGTTCTTTGTCAAATGGTTGGGAAGCCCCCTTACCTGTCCCATAGCCAGCCCGATTGAAGAAATACTAACCAAGCCATTAACCCATAGGGTGGTGGCTCCAATAATTTATAATCTGCTACAGGAGCAATTGACTGATCCTTTAAATAAGGTTAAAGTACAATGGGCAAAATAATTGGCTCTAGATACAGTGGCTTGAGAAAGTATTCACCCCCCTTGGCATTTTTCCTATTTTGTTGCCTTACAACCTGGAATTAAAATGGATTTTTGGGGGGGTTGTATCATTTGATTTACACAACATGCCTACCACTTTGAAGATGCAAAATATATTTTATTGTGAAACAAACAAGAAATAAGACAGAAAAACAGAAATCTTGAGCGTGCATAACTATTCACCCCCACAAAGTCAATACTTTGTAGAGACACCTTTTGCAGCAATTACAGCTGCAAGTCTCTTTGGGTATGTCTCTATAAGCTTGGCACATCTAGCCACTGGGATTTTTGCCCATTCTTCAAGGCAAAACTGCTCCAGCTCCTTCAAGTTGGATGGGTTCCGCTGGGGTACAGCAATCTTTAAGTCATACCACAGATTCTCAATTGGATTGTCTGGGCTTTGACTAGGCCATTCCAAGACATTTAAATGTTTCCCCTTAAACCACTCGAGTGTTGCTTTAGCAGTATGCTTAGGGTCATTGTCCTGCTGGAAGGTGAACCTCTGTCCCAGTCTCAAAACACCAAACGTGTTTGCTTATTTTTTTCTTTAAGCAATGGCTTTTTTCTGGCCACTCTTCCGTAAAGCCCTGCTCTGTGGAGTGTACGGCTTAAAGTGGTCCTATGGACAGATACATTTTTGATAATGGATTTAATGGTGCTCCGTGGGATGTTCAAAGTTTCAAATATTTGTTTATATCCCAACCCTGATCTGTACTTCTCCACAACTTTGTCCCTGACCTGTTTGGAGAGCTCATTGGTCTTCATGGTGCCGCTTGCTTGGTGGTGCCCCTTGCTTAGTGGTGTTGCAGACTCTGGGGCCTTTCAGAACAGGTGTATATATACTGAGATCATGTGACAGATCATGTGACACTTAGATTGCACACAGGTGGACTTTATTTAACTAATTATGTGACTTCTGAATGTAATTGACAGGAAAAACAGAGAGATAGATACAGTATATAGACAGACAGACAGACAGACAGACAGACAGACAGACAGACAGACAGACAGACAGACAGACAGACAGACAGACAGACAGAGAGAGAGAGATATATAGATTGATGGACGGACGGACAGACAGACAGACAGACAGACAAAGAGATAGATACAGTGGGGGAAAAAAGTATTTTGTCAGCCACCAATTGTGCAAGTTCTCCCACTTAAAAAGATGAGAGAGGCCTGTAATTTTCATCATAGGTACACGTCAACTATGACAGACAAAATGAGAAAAAAATCCAGAAAATCACATAGTAGGATTTTTAATGAATTTATTTGCAAATTATGGTGGAAAATAAGTATTTGGTCAATAACAAAAGTTTCTCAATACTTTGTTATATACCCTTTGTTGGCAATGACACAGGTCAAACGTTTTCTGTAAGTCTTCACAAGGTTTTCACACACTGTTGCTGGTATTTTGGCCCATTCCTCCATGCAGATCTCCTCTAGAGCAGTGATGTTTTGGGGCTGTCGCTGGGCAACACAGACTTTCAACTCCCTCCAAAGATTTTCTATGGGGTTGAGATCTGGAGACTGGCTAGGCCACTCCAGGACCTTGAAATGCTTCTTACGAAGCCACTCCTTCGTTGCCCGGGCGGTGTGTTTGGGATCATTGTCATGCTGAAAGACCCAGCCATGTTTAATTTTCACTCAAAATCTCACGATACAAGGCCCCATTCATTCTTTCCTTTACACGGATCAGTCGTCCTGGTCCCTTTGCAGAAAAACAGCCCCAAAGCATGATGTTTCCACCCCCATGCTTCACAATAGGTATGGTGTTCTTTGGATGCAACTCAGCATTCTTTGTCCTCCAAACACGACGAGTTGAGTTTTTACCAAAAAGTTATATTTAGGTTTCATCTGACCATATGACATTCTCCCAATCCTCTTCTGGATCATCCAAATGCACTCTAGCAAACTTCAGACGGGCCTGGATATGTACTGGCTTAAGCAGGGGGACACATCTGGCACTGCAGGAATTGAGTCCCTGGCGGCGTAGTGTGTTACTGATGGTAGGCTTTGTTACTTTGGTCCCAGCTCTCTGCAGGTCATTCACTAGGTCCCCCTGTGTGGTTCTGGGATTTTTGCTCACCGTTCTTGTGATCATTTTGACCCCACGGGGTGAGATCTTGCGTGGAGCCCCAGATCGAGGGAGATTATCAGTGAGCTTGTATGTCTTCCATTTCCTAATAATTGCTCCCACAGTTGATTTCTTCAAACCAAGCTGCTTACCAATTGCAGATTCAGTCTTCCCAGCCTGGTGCAGGTCTACAATTTTGTTTCTGGTGTCCTTGACAGCTCTTTGGTCTTGGCCATAGTGGAGTTTGGAGTGTGACTGTTTGAGGTTGTGGACAGGTGTCTTTTATACTGATAACAAGTTCAAACTGGTGCCATTAATACAGGTAACGAGTGGAGGACAGAGGAGCCTCTTAAAGAAGAAGTTACAGGTCTGTGAGAGCCAGAAATCTTGCTTGTTTGTAGGTGACCAAATACTTATTTTCCACCATAATTTGCAAATAAATTCATTAAAAATCCTACAATGTGATTTTCTGGAAAAAAAAATCTCAATTTGTCTGTCATAGTTGACGTGTACCTATGATGAAAATTACAGGCCTCTCTCATCTTTTTAAGTGGGAGAACTTGCACAATTGGTGGCTGACTAAATACTTTTTTCCCCACTGTAGGTGGACAGACAGACAGAGAGATAGTGCCTTCAGAAAGTTGTGCTACTCCTTGACTTTTCCCACATTTTGTTATGTTACAGCCTGAATTTAAAATGGATTAAATTGAGATTTTGTGTCACTGGCCTACACACAATACCCCATAATGACAAAGTGGAATTTTGTTTACAAATTAATAGAAAATG